AGCGCCTGCAACACTGCATTTCATCATCGTCGTCCATCGCTCTGTGTAATCTCAACCGTGTATTCCGTGGCACAAAGATAACGAACGTCAAGACGAAACACTGAACAGAAGAGAACAGCAGCGTTGAACCCCCAAACCACCGAGGCCTACTCGTAGGCACGTTGGAAAAATCAACCAGACCTGAAAGACAAAGACATCCATCCTCAAATCTGGTCCCGTTAACCGACCATGGCTCCGGTCCAGCACTCAACTAGCGCCGGCCCAAGCCTTCTAGCGCAAGGGGCGCCAGGCACAGCGCCAGTTGAGGCTGCTTAGTGCCCAAACGACACGCCTCCCCCTGCTGATTGGCCGTGGCCTGCCAGGCACGGGCTTCCGGTTGGCTGCCAGCAGCACCGGCGGGCGAGTCCGGCCCGTCCAGGCCCAATCGCCATCCTCGGCGCCCCGTCTTCTAGTCAAGGTGAAACAGCCCTCGCATGTCAAGTCGTGCGTGGCCCAGATCCGGTTTTGCTTAGGGGTGCGTTGATTTTTTTTTTTTTTTTGGATTTTTGTTTTTTGCAAATTGATTACGAGTACCGCTGTATGTTGGATTTTGCTTCTTCTAGTGATTACAGGTGGCTTTGGGCGGTGGGCTTGGCCCCCTCGCTTGGCTGTGCGTGTTCCCATAGCTGACTGAGGTCGACATTAGGGATGGATCAATATGGAGAAAAAAGGTTGAGGCTTTTGGCCATGTGGGCTCGGCCACGCCCCTTCGGCGTTTGTCTCTGTCACTTTCACTTTCTTCCAGTGCCATACGAGTACTCGTAGGTAGGTACAATAGGTAGTACCACAATATATCGCACTTCCTCCACACTCCATCCTCTCCTGATACACGTCCTATTAAAAGGATCGGCCTTTGCCCTTTTCTTCTCGGACAAACAAAAAAAAAAACAAGCAATGCCAGTCAAACCCCCCCTCCAAATTGCCTTTTCTCGTACATATGTAGCTGCGTGGATACTTTTTGATCTGGTAAGTAAAGTGGGCTGCGAGGGCATGATCATGTAAGACGGCCGACAAATTCACAAAAACGCAGAAAGATCGACAAGAATACGAACCAGTCTGTGTCACGCATTACTTTTCGTATTCCATTCGAACATGCCTAGCGTTTATCTCGGCGTTGCATTCGATCCTCCTGCTGAGATCGGGCTATAAAATCATCGCTAGATAGGCTGTAAACTTGTGTAGTGTTCGTAGGGAGGTCTTTGGAATTGAACTGACACCGCATATAGAAAGACAGGGACAAGCCCCCCCCCCCCGGCAGGCAACGCGTTCATCCCCCCCTTGTCGGTGCCAGGGTTGCCGATGCTTGTGGGGTCTATTGGTTTCATGCTCACCAGAAATGGAACGGCCAGGAAACTTGGCTATAGCAGACGAGGCAAACAAACCGGAGCCCGGCATCGAAGGATGTGTCCCCCAATGGAATGTATACGGAATACGGAGCACGGAGTACTCCGGATACATAAAGACATTGGATGGAGTCTCATTCTCCGCACACAATGCAAAGGGTTTTTTTGCTGTAACAGGTCCTTTGTGTGCGATTGTCTCACGGAGCCGTGAGACAGTTCCATCTGCACGTATGCTAAGCTTTCGCTCGGGTAGCTGCAACAATGAACTGTGCATCGACCAACGTGGCTCCAATCGAGCCGCTTCACATGTTTCCTTTGCGCACATTAACTTTCGCGCCACTAATGTGAAACAAGAGTGCACGACAAGAAGAAGAAAAAAGGCCGCGACTTCAAAAGGGCTTAGATCGTATGCAAGCCTTGAATTTTTTTCAGCCGCCGTTGTACGGAGCACTTCGCACGCACTTCACTTGATTGCACCATCATGGTGACAAGCTCCACCCCTGGCCACGTTGGCTCGGTCTCAAGGCCAAGACCTGCCAATCGCTAGGCCATCCGGGCCACAAAGATAGCGGTGGTTTTTTCCTTTTTTCCTTTTTCCTTTCGCGCTCTTGGCACATGCAGTCTAGAACTACAAGGATCGAGGCCAAGCAGACGACTTCTCAAAAACCAAGCCTCGAGTTCTGGGCGCTCAGCTTGGCTTCCGGGTTCCAGCCGTCAAGAAGCTGAGCCTCTATTATTACGACCATCTTTGTCAGAATTTAATATTAATAGTACGAGCGAGAATATACGAGTACAAGTGAGAAGTACAAGATTAGTAGCAGTGGGTACATCCATGCTGCTCTATGCAAACACGTGGGTACGAGTGCTGTGCTATATTCGTACACCTCTTGCGGCTCGGACCAAGCGCCTGTTTGGAGAGTGTTTGCGATTCTCCGTACAGTAACGGTAATGATAGCCCATATTTCGATTCCACAGTGACTCGCAGTGCATTACTACCAAGAACATTGAAGGCATTGCCGCCGAGCTCAAAAAAGGAGGTGTGCAGACAAATCTCCTGCAAGTGCCTTGCCTCCAGATGCTGGCTGTGTAAACAACAGACTCCGCGCACGCCGTTGGCCGGATGGCGCGATATGTCAACCTTGAAATTACTTTCCCCCTTTCCCATTCTACAATCGCTATTCTAGACCTCTGGCCAAGATGTCAACCGCCTGGTTGCCCCCCCATGTCGCTGGCCTGCCTTGATTCTTGTTCACAAGCAGGGGCTGGGATACCCGGCACAGCAAACGTGAACCCCTGGGCCAATCATGGCAACTCCTGGGCTTCGACTCACTCGGAGGTACTTACTGTAATTTGTCAATACATACGAGCGCTTCCAACGGAGTACACGCACATTCCATCACCGATGTCCTGCTCGTTGGGCCAATGGGCCGACTCGGGCTCAGTGGAGCGGCTGGTCCTGCCATAGTTCCTGTAAATTGTCGGCCTGACTTGTGGTTATCTGTCCATCTAATCGAACATTCTTGGGCGTTTCAGTTGAAGCTTCAATCTATGTACGTTCCTTTGCCAATCTTGGTGACATGTATACCCGCCGCATCTCCTGTAAGATAGTAAGTACGGGCGTGTCTTTGGTCAAGTCATCAATGGATGAACAGGTCTACAGATTGCCTAGGTACTTTGTGACCGCCACATCCGGAAATTGCGTACTATATGTACTTGTATCAGTAAGCGCCAGAGCCTGGCCTGGGCCTCTTTCGCAGCAAGCACAAATCATACGAAAAAAAGCATCGTCACCAGTGAAATGACATGGCGCGATGATGGTGACAGTTTTGATTCGAGTTGCGGCGAGGCGCCCATTGCAGCGCCGTGTAAGCCACCGGTGTATCCATTTTATTAGCACCATGTTGTTGTGCCTGGAGCCGATGGAGTTGGTTGGCCACGTTCTTTGTTGGTCGTTGACCAACCGGTATTGGAAGGCCGATTCGCGTTGGACGCTATTGAGATTTCACCCTCAGGCCCCCCTACGAGTACGATCGGCTCCTACCGAACAGGAGCGATCGAGTGGTTGGCCCCCAAGGAAGACCTGAGCAATGGACACCTTTTCTTTTTTTTTTTTTAATCCGCCAGGGCCTATACATTCGCACCCTGCGATGTTGTGTGCATCACAAAAACTTGCATTAGGAGAGTACCGCAAAAATCTACCCATGCAGAGCTAGAACTCTGAAAATCACCAGTACCATTAAGCAAGGAGTGTTTTATATGGTGGCTGCCATGGATTATTTGTTACAATAAACTGCGCTGTATTTTGTTCTATCGGGGTGGTTACATAATCCTTCACCGAGCATATAAGTGGCATCACCATCAAAAGCCACAGGCGATAAAGAAATAGTCGAATGGACGCAGTCAATGGCATATTCATCCCGCAAAGTGCCGTCATTATGCAGAAGAAGATTGTCAACCTTTACTGATGAACGCCACAGTTCATGCTCTGTTGGTTCCATGGCGTTGAAGTCTCAATTGACTCACCGAGCTCTTCAAGTGCGGACATGACTCTCTACCCTAGAGCTGGGGAAGAAAACGCGGGGTTATGGATGAGGCGAGTGCGTTGGTTGACATGCACAGTATAAAGGATCATGTAATTGTAGTATTATGATGATTGCTGCATTTTGAAGAAAGATGCCAGTATAAAGGCCGCTGGTTTGGGTTGTTACCAGAAGAATCACTGAAGGCGGGAACTTGCCTGGCCAATCTTCCCATGTAAAATATGCCCGGCTACAGAGAAAAGAGTATCTGACTTGTAGGCATAGGACCATCACTCATCGCATAGAACGCAATCTAACAGTCACTTGCAAAGTTTCTCTTTGGCTAACCACATGCGAGCCATCCCACATACCTCCAAGCTTGTAGGGTTTGTGCAAATCTCGTCGCGTCAAGTGATGCTTTCGGTCACCAAATCTGCCAAGTCTTCAGGGCGAAATGGACGCGACAACCCCGTGCAAAGCAGCCAAGAAATCGCCAGCATGCTATCGTACATACTAAAAAGGATAACGAGCCAGAAGCGCGCCAGCCGAGAATAGACCAGCCGATCGACTGGAAGCCATCGTGGAAATACTGGTGCCTAGATGGTACGAGTACCAAGGCATTGCTGCGCCGCCTTTTCCATTGGATGGGTGGCATCAGGAACGCCTACTTGTACGAGTATATATTTGCACCAAGGTCGTGGGTTCGGAGTAAAGGTGCTCCGTTCCTTGCGGCTAAATTGAAGTAACAGGCGGACTGCCGTCCCGGCTGACAAGCTTCTACTTCCATTTACGGCAGCCAAGCTGTATGACTATCTCGACGATTTGCGACTGGCATCACGACCTCAGATTTACGAATATTTCGCATGCTCTCGGCAGTTCGCATTTCTGTTGCTCGGTTGGCTTCCTGCGACTGCTGGGCGATTTCTGAGCGCAACTGCACGTGCGCACTAATCGCACATGTGCGGATGTCGCATTACTGCAACCTGAACGAAGCGCGCGTGGGGCCATAGAGAGTCATCGGCGAGCTGAATTCGTACAGACGTGCTTTATAATTTGCCGAGAGAAGGGCGCGCGCGCTCTCAGCGTTCCAGTGCCTACCATGGACCAACATCCCTTTGATAACGACATCATGTCGTTTCCGGATCGCCCTGAATTCGACTATGCCCCCTTTCTGCAAGCTGACGACATGGGCTTCATGGATACAGGCACTATGCAGGGCCAGTCGACGGGTTCGCTTTCCGGGTCGTCGGGAGGGATGCACACGCCCCCCTATTCTGGCGCCAGCAGTAGTAACAATAACTACAATGCCGTGGACATGAGCCTCCGTCGACTGCCGGCGCAGCAAAGGCAGCGGCTGGAGCGGAGAGGCCATACCAAGAGCCGCCGGGGATGCTACAACTGCAAGAGGCGGCGTATCAAGGTAAACGCGCACAAAGCATTGGTTTCCATTGGCGGAACTCAATATGCTGATTGCACCTTTAGTGTCAAGAGACACACCCGGCCTGCGGTCACTGTCTTAAGACGGGTCTGAAATGCGAGTACCCTGCTTCGCCCCAGATCACCCACCAGGTATGTCTCGGCGAGAAAGCCATCACATCTCTTGGACTTGGCTGACACCACAAACAGCCTCACAATCAGATACCCTTGTTCAGCTTGCAGGACATGCGATGCTTCCAGTACTTTTTGACACAGTGCTACCCACACCATCCTCTGAAGCAGGAAGAGATCTGGACTCATGAGATTCCCAGCATAGCGCATAACGTACGTTTGAGGCTCCCGTGCGGCACCGCATCTGCTGGCGTGCGGGTATGATATGCTGTACCGATACAAAATACTAACGCGCGCTTGATAGCACGAGTTTCTTATGCATGCCATCCTGGGGTACGCGGCCTCGGAACTGATGCATGCAGACAGTAACCTTGTGCCGGTGGCCATGGGGCACCGCATCAAAGCCATCAAGGCGATCAAGAAGCGATTAGTAGAGACGTCAAAGATGGACACGACTTACGAAGAGGCGAACGCCCTAGTGGCTACTTGCTTCGCACTGACCTTGCAGTCTGTCAGCCTTGAGGACGGCTTGGCCGAGTACATGACGTTCATTCGCGGCATTGTCATTGTGGGGATGCAAATGATGTTTAAGAGCATCAAGCCTCTTTTCAGTAATCTGTTTGAGTCCAATAATGACGATGTCCTTGCGCCATATATGGAAGGACTGCCGCTGATTCAGAAGGGATGGGCGGAGACGGCTCTTGAATCCATTACCAACTTGGGCCCGCTGTGTACACACCAAGTCGAAATCGAATATCATGAACACCTGATGACCATTGCGTCCCATCTACTCACTAACTCATTCGAAGGTAGGCTGACTGCCATATCTGGTAACCAACATTGTGCTAATACGGATTCTTGCAGCGTACAAGGCCAATTCGAGACAATACGGATGGTGGATGCTGTTGCCGCATGCCTCCTTCCAAGAACTCATCAACTCCAAGAACCAAGTTGTCATCCTGTTGCACACCCATTGGATAGCGCTGTCGCAAATCATGGCTTTCATCAATCAGCAAGAGTATGAGGTGCGGGAGAAGCACCCTGCTCAACAAGAGAGTGGCCGTATCGACCCAGGATTCATTCGCTGGCTCAAGTATCTCAACGCGCGTGTCGACCAAGGACATCAGATGTTCAACCAATGGCCGAGGTGGGTGGATGAGCAGCTGGACATTGACATGACATTTTTCGGAAAGCGTCGGTAGAGGGAGCAAGTTGGCTGACGTATTGGCATCCTTTGTTTGCGGCGGATTTACTCGACATATATAATGACTGATATGAAATCGATGGGCGATCGGTATGTGATTCAAGCCGATGAGATGGCAATGATTAATGTATGAGGGATTGAAGTTGGTCTTTTCGGTATAATGAAGCTGGTCTTTTCAGTATAATGAAGTTGGTCTTTTCGGTATAATGAAGTTGGTCTTTTCGGTATAATGAAGTTGGTCTTTTCGGTATAATGAAGTTGGTCTTTTCGGTATAATGAAGTTGGTCTTTTCGGTATATTGAAGCTGGTCTTTTCGGCATATTAAAGTTGGTCGTTTTGGTATATTTAACCTCGGTTTGTTTACCCTCGGTTTTCAGTCTCTGTATACATGGTAATCGAAGCGGTGTGTGAGTGTTTCCGTGTTACCTAAGTCTTATATACTCAGTCGGCCTTTGGATAAATGTTTAATGTTTTAGATGACCCGAGGTAAATTATCTCAATTCTGCAATAATCCGGGGTAAATCATCTTAATTCCTCAATAATCCGCTTTTTATCGTCCGGCAGTTTGCTTTTTATCCAGGTTCGCTTACCTAGGGGACCTATCATCGTGAGTCTCAACTGTAAAAGTCAGGTCGTAACATCAAGGAGGATAGTCGGCGGAGTCAGGGTCGTCTACGGAGCCCGGCGTAATCCGATGAGCCCGTGGAAGCTGAGAGGTCCGTGGAACTTGACGAGCCCGTGGAACTTGGGGAGTTTGTAAAACCCGAGGAGTTCGTGGAACTTGAGAAGCTTCGGGGGGGTTGCTGGAGCTGGGTATATATTCCCTATACTATCCGACTAACCCTTCGTATCGCTTACTATGCTACTATACTCCTCGAATCTAGAGCAACTCTAGGACTTCTATAGCCCATTGCTGAATAATTTGTCATCAACTTCTTACATTACCCCAAAACATGTCTCGGTATGCAAATATAGCTCTAGTAGCTAGTTTTGTTTTATGATATAAACCACCTATGCAATGATTCCTTAGACTGACTGGCTTTGGTATAGACCAGAGGAAGAATTTATCCGTCTCACAAAAGTTGATGGATTTGTTTCCGAGACAGAAGCGGAAACGGTCTTTAACCAACTGAAACCCGTCGCGCCCTCCTTCCTTATCGGAAAGTGGAAAGGTGGCGACCTCGATACAGGGCATGTTGGGCACCAAAAGCTCAGTGAACTGCGTTGGGCTGGCAAAGACTTCCGGTCCGAGAATGATGGTGACCCAATCATGGTTTTCGACGAGCAAGGGAACCGAATTTGGAATAAGGACTGGGGCCACTGCTCGGTTAGTTATATATATGCCTTGCTTCCCAATCATGTCACTGTTGTTTGTTACTGATGTGAGTTTATGGTAAGCTTCGTGAAATGGTTTTTCGTGGTGTGACTTCGACTGCTATGATCTATGATGAGAAGCCCATTTTTGACCATTTCCGTTATGTTGATGATAACATTGTTGCAGGGGCTATGGATTGCCCCAAGGTGTTTGGATCTGAGTCTACCTACTACTTCTATCTGACTCGTCTTGAATAACTGATAGGAGAGAATATATATATATATATATATATATATATATATTTAATAAGAGTGTTCCTATCGGATCTGGAGATTTCTCCGAAATACCGAGTGGCATTGCACCTGGTCTTGGAGGTTGCATACAAGTAATACACGTTACACGTAGAGGTGCCTTGCGATAATAGCGGCCGGCCTACATACCCATTGCCAAAGCCATATCCCCTACTCTCGGGTTGAGGGTGAATCTTACGAGGAATACGGCACTTGGTCTGGCGAGTAACATTCAAAGGTTGCTTGATGCTAAGCCTCGATAGTACTGACCCCGTCATCAAAGCCGCTAGCTCTCTTTTTGCCCACCGAGAATTCCAAGTTGAGTCGATTCTCCTTTTCCATCCAAAGCCCGACGCCTATCCCCAAGCATCCAATCTCAGCAAGCTTCTCGAAGCCCCCCGCACAGCCACTCCAGGCGTCCCACGAGGCACGAGACAGCGAGACATTGCAGAAGGTGCGATTATGCTTTCGGCAAGCTCCACAGAAGGATCTGGCTAACGGCATCACGCTAGCTGATATCCTCCTTGCCAAGAGTGATTGGTCCGCGTTCATCGTATTCCACGTATTTGGACGCAGTGGAGAACAGAGGGCCCCGCTTTGGGGTCTAGCCAAACATTGAACATGCAGAGAAAGCGCGCTGGTGGCCGTAACAGGACAGGAGCTGAGACTTGACGTAGGGAAGGAGTGATGGGATGGGGGTCGATGCGGTGGCTGTGAGGCAGCGTATTGGTCGGATTAGGTGGTTTGGTTGATGTTGGGCGATTTTAGGGCTTCAGATGGCGAGAGACTAAGGCGATGCTGTGTTTGATGTGTTACTACCTGGTAGGTATGCCTAGTAGTGTCCATGAGAGAGTATAAGTAGTGACGTTGAGTTACACATGCCACGGCGGGAAGTCAGATTGCAGCTGAGAATCAATATACAAGACTTATACCTGAAGAAACAAGACCATATCGCTCTAATACTTGACACTTTCATATTTTACTTGTGCTACTAAACAATACACAATCGTCGTAGTCACCGGTATACACAATGGCTGCTACCGCAACTCAAACCGAGGTGCTCTTCTTCAACCGAAGGCCCTCACGAACTTCAACTGCGGCGTCATCTCTTCCGCCAGCCTACGACCCCGGCAGCTACGAACTCAGGCCCCTATCCACCACTTCCTCAAGCTCCAGCAATTCTCCTCCTCAATATGACACCCTCGATGCCGGCAGCTCGTCCTCTTCATCTCAACCAGCATTCCACTGCACAAAGGCCTTCCAGATCGAAACACGAGGCCAACCTCTCATTGCTCTACCCATTCCTCCTCGACCGGTTCCCATCCCCGTATACAACGTAGATCTCTCTTCAGATGCCGTTACAGGTCTCGCCTACGAGTCACTTCGTCCGCTTCGAAACTCGGGCAACTGCAGTCTTATCCGGGCTGGTGACTCGGAGGAGAATCCCGTCTGTCGCACTACATATCGATGGGGCCCTGGTAGACCGCCCAGGATGGAGCTTACGGGAGACATGGCTCTTGATGAAGAGTTTGAAGTCGTGAGCAAGGGACTTACTACGAGATCGCAAGTGTTCCGCACGCATCTTGGTACATTCCAGTGGCGTTATGCCAGACGCGAGGAGAGGAGGGCGGCTGGAGCGAACAATTTGATGGTGCTCGATCGGATCATCATGGTGGCTCTTGAGGGCGGAGGCCAAGAAGAGAGGGGGACTCCCGTGGCGAAATTCCTGAGGAACGAAATGGTGAGGACGCCTGGAACGAAGGCGACGACGGCTGGGAACGGGGGAAGGCTGATGATGAATTTGACCGAGTGGGAGAGGACCAAGGGGGAGGCAGAGCAGCTGGAGGTGTTGGTGGTTGCTAGCTGCTTGTTGATGCTGAAGAAGGAGGTTGATAGGAGGAGGATGCAGCAGGCTATTGCTACGACATCGCCGTGTTATTTCGCCGCGGCGGCCATTCACTGAGGGAATGGGTTGACGATGAAGGGGTTATATGAAAGATTGAACGATACCCGTTGACAGATATCATTTTTTTCTTTGTGTTTAATAGAATGATGCATACTTTATTAGTCTATATGTTCTTGTAGCCGTACAGTCAGCGTATGTATCATGGCTAAACGATAATGAGATTCTATAACTGAGTTAAAAGGGATTCGATCTAAATTGCCGTCTTCTCTCCTCTACCCAGCTCCAATATCTCCCCGTTTGGCCGTCTTTCATCCGATATAGTCATCCTTTTGAGATCTTTCTTCTTGCAATTCGCATAATACGTCACGCAGCAGCCATTCTTTTCGCCAATAAAGGGGTCATCAGTAGATGACTTTCCCCACAGCTCCACGACGAGCACCCATATCGACAAGCCCAGTGTGACGGATATCAGATCAAGGGACCGAAGCGAATGAGCCAGTGGCAAAAAGAACATGGCAATGCAGGCGGCGGCGCGATTTGCGAGCCTGATGTTTTTGTGCAGCTGAAGGGTGGGAGGGTTCATGTGCTCATGCGAAAAGGAGATGGCTCCCATGGCAAGAAGAGCAATGGCGAGGCCGTAGCAGTAGAAGAAACGGACGCCCGCATTGAAGTGGTCTTCAGCGCTCTCTCGGTAAGGCTCTGCGAGTTGTTCCGGGTTGGTGTCTGGAACGTCCGTCGCCAACACAAGTCTGGATAGAGCAGACGTGGCGACGATGTAGCCCATTACGAACAGTAAATGGGCAAACTCCCAAACTCCCGCTACATCGTTGTTAGTAGTGTGTTGACAACAAGAAGAGTATGCAGAAAACGATACCTGAAATTCGAGAACGTCGAATAGCATGCAGACTCAAGTTGCTGGCATCAATGTCAAAGTAAATCCAGTTAAACGTAAAGGCTTGCATCAAGCCAAGTATGGCCTTCCCTAGAAATGCATTGATGTTGTAGCCGCCTTGGCTCTGGAAGAGAATCGCAACCACCGAATAACCGAGAACCAGAGATACGAATGCGTTCATCCTTTCCACTCGATGTTCGATGCTGATAGCGGGATAAAACTCAAACATGCCGCCGAGACGCTTCTTCCATACACCTTCGGGGGCTTTGCCTTGGCCATATAGGAAGAGACCAAGGAAGAAGACGTGTCCGTACATGTCGAGGAACAGCGCCGGAACGATGAATCCCAGGCGACCGGGCATGTCGACGTGGATACTGGCGATCCACAAAGCCGTTGGGATAATAGTGCCGATGATTTGGCAAATCATGACGCCCTTGATCATGGGTAAGAGATAGGCGGTTATGCCGTAGAATATCGCGGTAAAGACTCGCGCGGCGAGGTAGAAAGAGACGAGTTGTACGTAGGTGTTCTGTGCCGGGTCTTCGACAAAGATATGCGTCATGTTTGTAGTAAATCTATCATCAATTGTCAGCTTAAATCTTGCGTCGACTTGTTGTTGGGTCAGGCCCCTTTACCCAATGAGAGTTGAGATGCAGAACAAAATCTCCAACCTGGTGACAACGTCGTCTGTCTCAAACCAGCTGAGTGTAAGAGTAATGCTTGTCCATATCCTCCATGTCATGACGAATGTGATGACGAAACGGAGCAGCTCGTACCCGGTCGCTTCTTCTGCCATGTGCTCGCCATTGGAATGAATGATGCCAACTGTTTGGTTGTTAATATCATTCACTGGTCAATTTTACCCATCCAGTATAACAAACATCAACATACCATATACGAGATCCAAAAAGAGTTCAATGGCCATGATTTCCGTCTGCTCTGATGTTCTCCATAATAAACCTTGGTGAAACCATTGTCTAATCACAGGCCGCTTAAATAGCTTAGTGGTCTCACCGCGACGGTCACTCTCTTCACGCTGCCCACGGGATTTCTCCGAGATGGAAGTATGTGAAGAAGTAACAGGCGGATCTTCGTCATTGTAGGTTCGCACAGCAGCGTCGTAGCCAAACTTGTTAAAGTTGCCATATAATCCTGATGCTTGGTTCTCCAGGCGTTCCAGTTCTGCGGTCACCGATGAAAGCTGAGTTTGGACGTCTTCCCATTCTTCAAATGCGGGCCCGTGTTGTTCTCGCAACAACTGCCGGCGCTCCTCATGGTGATCTCGGGATTGGCGGAGGTATTGACTGTGCTCTATGGAGCCGTGAATAACTACCTCTACTTGGGTATCGTTGTCCCCCTGATATTGCCGGCGAATATCCTCCAGGTCCTCGGGCAGCGTCACAATGATCTTCTTGCCATTAGGGAGGAGCAGCTCTTGCGGCTTGCGTCGTCGTCTCTGTAATGCAGAAGACATGTTTTCTTTGAAGTTGACAAAACACGGTCGCACACAGGTAAAGAAGTTGTAGAGCAAGAGTAGGAGCAGTTTAACAAAATATCAATGCCTTTTGAGCATGAGGACAATGTAACTGCATTGCCAAGAAGAGCTCTGGTGAGCAAAGGCGTGGAGGGAGTCTGGGCCAATGCGTGTCTCATCTGAGATTCCATTGGCGCTATTACCAAATTCTTCCGTCGAGATGAAAGACTTTCATGTTTTTACTATTCGGGCTGCGTGTCTTTCCTATTTGGGCCAGGACTATGATCATCTCATCAAAGGAGAGATGCCAAACTAAAGCGGAATTGCTGACTTCAGCATCTTGGCTTATGCTGGACTTGCTGATGCAATGCCGATTAGACCCTGGCAAAACAGATACTATTTCAGTCGTGCACGCATGTCTTGAGATCTGACACGATCCTGGTCGGTACAAGCCGAGACGATACGTAAACCAGCTTTGATGAGCAGCAGTCTAAGTGTACATGTAGATAGGTACCTGGTATAGTAGGTATGTAATTCAGGTGTAAGTGATTGCCTATGTATGTAGACATCTATTCTAGTACTGAAGTATTCAAGGGAAGATGCTGACAAGGGCTCCAAAGGCGTGCTGGATCCCGTTTGCTGTAAATAGACGAGATCCCGCACTGCCGACGACAGCCGATGAGTCAGCAGCTCACCTGCACGTGACTTTTTCGAAGCCTCAGGTGTTAGCGCATACTCAAGCGCTCGATTCTGGCAAAGACTCAATCGGCATCAATAACAACGCCTATCTTCGCCGTTCAACCCATCCATTCGCCAAGATGACTGCTGCGTGGAAAGCCGCCGGTTTGACGTACGTCAATTGATCCCCTGCCGAATCGGTGTCGCCCTCACCGTCCCGAATGTCCCCACGACCGCTGCGTTGCGACTTTTTTCTGCCGAACTCTTGCGAGCCCATAGACTGACTTGCGAATGAAAATAGCTACAACCGCTACCTGGCCGTTGCCTCCCGTGCCATCCGCCGAAGCCTCAAGGAGGACAAGAGAATCAATGCCGAGCGACGTGCTGTTTCCGAGCTGCGATTTGCTACCTGGAAGGTATGTTGACTGGACGAAGAACGAACAAGAGCCGGAACCGGGTTGTTAATGCCTCAGTAGAACGGCAAGGCTGGTGAGCCCAAGGATCTTGCTGCCGCCAACGCCGCCGCCATGGCCGAGAGCGCCTCCTCTTAAGCAAAACGTGTTGGGAAAAGAACGGATGAGAGGGGCGAAATGATGTTGCTATAGACGCTTGGAAGCGACAATGAGAAAGGCCATGCGAATGGGGCTGGAGTTCCAAATTGCTGGCGTTGTAAAATAAACAATTGCTGCAATACATGAATATACTAAAGCAAATTAATCGTCCAGCAAGGGCTTCTTGAGTGTTTGAATAGACCCTGCGTCACATTCTGAACTGATATAAATGTCCATGGGAGGGGTGACTGTGTCTGCTCACCCCAAATTATGTACATGTACGCTACCTATGAATGTATGGTGGGGAATGCGACTGAGATCTCACATGAAGCTATTGGTCTCGTGCAAAGTCGCAATCCGGGTAAATCTCCTAAAAGGAAATGGAATTTATGCCCTTTACCATGTAAACTCACTGCTTGATTGCCTATCGAAAATTAGGCCTGTAAAGTACTGGAGGGGTGTTGCTCAGCATCTGGCGCTGTCTTTCGTCCGTCTTAGGTCTGTGTCTCGGCCCGCGAAACAGTGCCTGTCTCCAGTAGTCACCAAAATTCACACCCCATTTCAAGCCACCGCAAGGGAACATCGAACTCAACATTTTCTTTTTCTTTTCTCGTTAAAACAAGGAGATAATCCGCGCAACAATGCCAAGCTAATATCCCCCTGAGCGTGAACCATCTACAACCATGGCTGACTTTGGCGTTGGGGTGCCAGACGGTGCGAAAAGATGCTCAAGCCATCACAATCTCCCCTCATCCCCAGCAAATTTCTAATCTGGAGGCCGCGCAGAAATCGCGAGATTATCGCTGGGCCAGGGCTCTGCTCCTCAAGATATGCTGCCGCCGAGCATCAGGAGCGATGGCATAGCCGTCGTGGACATCACAGCAAAATTTTCAGATGCTGTCAAGAGTGAGTAATCTGATTGCGCTCTTGTGCAGTGCACGTAAGCTGATGCCGAACAACAGCCCTTGAGCCCGGGGCCATCGTCAAGGATGGCTTCTTTACGCTGTTCGACTCCGTCGCGGCTTTGGAGGTGCGTGTTCTGCAGACTGCCTTGTACGAGGCTTCCATCTTCTTACATGGCGACAGATCATGGATCCCAAGATGGACAGCGGGTGCTCTACCACGGATGCTGAAGTGGAACATCTTTACGACGTCTCCAAACCATTACTGCCTGAGGAGGTGCTCGGCATCATAGATCAGCTTTTATGCCACGAGGTCAGTGTGGAAAAGATTGCACCATGTTATATTCCAAGGGCTCATAGTTGATTAGATGTCATGGCATCTGGGATACCCCCTCTCTCAAACCCTCTTCACAAGCTTCTACGTTGAGGCTCTCTCAACGCCGGACCCCCGAAGCATCCAAGAGGCTTCATTTATTCGCAACGGCGGTCATGACCCAAACGAACAACCCATGCTCCAGGTCCTACGGGCGTATTGTCTGGGCATGCTCAAAAGCTGCGGTTATGTCAATGAGAGAATCAAATCGGAGCACTATTATGAGGTGAGTATCCATGCTCGGGCTACATCTGTGATTTGATCACTCAACACAAAGTATAGGAAGAAGATTTCGTCACAAACACATATAACCGCACGCTTTTGGCAAGCCTTCCAACAAGTGCGATCCGGGACGTCATAATCGAGGCCATGGCAGCTCTCAAGTCACAACGAGGCTCCATCTCTGATGATCTCATCGACGCCCTGCTGCTTCGGTTGGAGCTGAGGCACATATTCCTGGATGCCGTAGAATGCCCCAAACATATGAAGGAGCCTGATATGGCCAAGAAGCCCTGGAAGGAGGGTCTCGTCATCTTACCGGCCTTGAAGAAATCCCACTCTCTCGCTTCGCCGGTGGATGACGCTTTCAGCGCCAAGTTGCAGCGGAAGCTGGCCAGCACTATGCCTCCACGGCCCATTGTTCAGCTGGAGTTCGACGTCGCTTTCGGCCACCTGAAGAGTCTGTTCGAAGACGGCCTGGAGCTTATTGATGTTCTACACTATACTGATTCGCAGTGCTTACTCGTAAGTGACTCAGATCCAGCGGATGGCCATGTATGTTGACAACGGAAAACAGACGTTTGTATCTACCTTTCAAGCGAAGAAGCCGCAGCCTATAGTATATGTACGAACGCTATTACAGACATTCCTATTCGACGCCATGGAAGTTTTAGGGTCCATGAGCATCCGCCAACTTCTTGACGACGACTTTGCCATTCTTACGATGCCGGCGCACCAGTATCTTGATAGACTAAACGATGAAGTCGAAGCTGTTCAGGATCCACGATACGCCATGGCGCAGCAGATGGAGCTTTTCAGAACAAGAGCAGCCCAGCCGTTTCTGGATATCCTACGCACGACCTGTCAGAATCGGTGCCGCGTGAGGAGGACCCTCTGTCACCTCCTTCGCGACTGGGAGAGTCTGCAGGTGGACGCAGAAGAAATCGACCAGATCCTCCAGGTCAAGGTAAAGGAGCAGCCGACCATGCACTGGTCATCCATGGGCAGCGGCGGCGTGGAGTCTTACTCGCTGCCCCTGTCATCATGGACATATCTGTACAAGCTACGGCAGATGGAGCAGATTATCCAGCTGGGGTTTGAGCTGGAGATTTACCAGGCTGACGAACTCGCCGGCATGTACTGGTATCTCAACTACATCTCCAAGTCTCGCCTTCACCACACTGAACGAATCAAATCTTTTGTCATCAAGAGGGTTGAAGAGACGCATGGCCAGCCGGGAAACCCGGATCCCACCATCGGCACACAGCTGCAACGATCGCTCATGTATACCCGCCTATCATTGCTAGACGCCGCCGTCACCTGGGAGCTATCCGACTCGCTGTCTTGTCTGTACACCGTCTTGAATCGCCTCAAGCTCATCAAGGCACCGCCAAGGCCGTATGGTACCGACGAATTCCGATACGAGATCCGGATGAGACCGTTTGCACCAGTTGGTCTTCCCGTCCTGCCCACCTTTGAAGAGTTTACGGCCGGAACGCTGCAACCCGACACGGAGATTGATGAGCTCTTTGAGTATGCAGAGAGAGCAGTGGAAGGCGCCAAGAGAGGCTTTGAGGCTCTGAGCAAGATGACTGCCGAGGAATCCTTCTCAGTCGGCTCTCACCAGCGATGGGCCGCGGCCACCAAGAATGGACTCAAGTCGTGTATTGCTACGAAGATTGCCATTTCAGCGGTGGCAAAGGCGGTGGAAAAGTCAAAGGATCTGGACAATTTGAAGATCAAGGTCGAGATTCCCACTCCGCAAAAGGCATATCATGAATCATGGATTGTCCCCAAGATAATGCCATTAGCATGATAGTAGGCTCATGTAAATATGTAATAAAGGAAAATGAATTATTGAAATCGCATCTTTTATTTCCACGCCCCCCGAGCGTTTGTAAAGGAGATTAAGAAAAGAGAAAGAAAAGAAAAGGTCCAAGGTATCCATTCGTGACATACATCCATCAACTTAAAATTCGTTCCAAGTCATTCCGGAAACCCATTCTATACCCCCAGGGATATTAACCACCCTTTCATAACAGTCACCTTACTTGTGGTGATGGTACACTTATGGTACAGCCCAAGAAAATTACATCCCCTATCTACTGGGCCCCCAACATGGCGTCTGATCCAGTGATATAAGTTGTTGGAAGAGAGTGCATGTTTTTTTTTTCATGGTAGCAAGCAACCGCCGGTTGTGGTAGGGGCGGCTTTACGCCTTCTTGCGGCCCATCCTGAGCCTCACCATCTGCTCGTAGAGAACATCCTTGAAGGCGAAGAGGAAGGCCGCCGTTAGGACGCTCTGAGTAACCTTGGGGCCAATACCTGTAATTTACTTTTTGTTAGTCTCTCATGGTTCCTTGACATGCTCTTTTTGCAGTTGTAATTGACTCACCCTTGTACAGGCCAGAATAACCTTCGTCCTTGACGACACGGCTCAAAGCCTGAGACATGTTCTCCTTCTTCTCGCTATGGGCAGCGACGTGCATCTGGCTCTTAACAGTGATGTAAGGATATGTCACCGAAGTGGCGAAAAGCTTGCCCAAGGCCCCCAGCACAAACGCCATGGTGGGAGTGATCTTTCTCTTCTTCTCCACGGTATTCTTCATCTGCTCAAAGAGCGTGTATTGGAGAATGGGGTTGATGACCAGCACCAGGGCTGGGATGACGCCGGCGAACAAGGCCTTGGGTCCCTCGTTCTTCAAGAGGGCCATGAGGGTCCCCAGAGTGGTGGGAGGCTTGACCGCCTTGGCGCCGGCGCCGGCCTCGAGATCCGGGTCCTGTCGGCGCGTTGTGATGCGCGTGTTGACGACCCAGATGGGGTTGGTGATGATGACGGTCGCGGAGCCGGCAATGGCGCCGGCGATCATGGACTCGATGGTGGTGAGCTTCTTGCTGGCGCGGCCGGAGCGGGTGGCGGCCTTTTCGAAGAAGGCCCTGGTCCATTCGTACCAGTAGTAGTAGATGAAGTTGGTGACGCTGATGCCAAACAGCGCCGAGTTGATGCCCGAGTAGAGGCCCGAGACGCCCTCGCGCGCGATGATTTTCTGGATGGCTTCGACGAACTTGCTCTCGGCCTTTTTGGATTCGACTTGGGCTCTGGTGGAGAGGGTGATGAGAGGGTAGCTATTATGAGAGTATCCAGGTTAGTCAAAGGGAATCGCTCTCGTGACGTGACATGGCGATTCTGTAGCGAGATGGAGGCATCCTACGTCAAAATCATGGACAAAATGCCACCGCCAGCCCCGGCCAGGGCATGTGCGACATTGTCATTCTGGGGAATCGGAGACTTGGAAGCCATCGTGCTGGATTATCGAGGAATTGAATCGGCGGCTTGGTCAGCTTGTTGGTGAAGTTACTGCGACGCCTCTTTGCGACCAGTGACTTTTGCTATCGAATTGGTGCCCGACGATAAGATGATGCAAGAGTAAAACGGCGGGTTCCCGGATCGCATGCGATTGTGCGGAAGCTCGATGCTATATCGGCGAGAGAAGCAAAGGGTTCTTCCAGGCGTGTAACCGTCGTCGATGGGGCCCCTGACAGACGCAAGCCGAGGTCCCTGTTGCAGGTTTGAAGCCGGCGGACTGGGTCTGTAACCGCATTGTTCCGCTTTAGCGCGGCAAGAGAGCGCTGGAATGAAGTCATGCCTCCCCCGTGGCAGGGCGCTAGTGCGCTGAAGCTTGGGGGCATGGCATGTGACTTTGGCGGGGTGTTTGGGGGAGCGGCTTGGGCGGTTTGGGCGGCTTGGAGGCGCAAGGATTTCTGGTACAGTAACGAGAAGATCGATCAGTGGATTGTAGTAGGAGGTAGTATTGTGATTGGAGAATTGCGGGTGCCGAGGTAGGAGCTGGATCGGGGATGGCGGCAATGACTAAGTGGCACGCGGGTGTTTTAAATTGCCTGGATGCTGTTAGTTAGTGCGAGCAAGAGACTTTGGTGTGTGTGTGTGTGTGTGTGTGTGTGTGTGTGTGTGTGTGTGTGTGTGTGTGTTGCTTCAATGGCGTCCGGGAATGAGCCCTGTCGAGTCTGGGGAAATGAAGAGCATGTCACTAAGCACCCTCCCGGAACGTGAAAGTCACTTCAATTGCATGTGTACATGTGCATATCAAGTCCATCAAGCAGTAACAGGTGAAATGCAGCGGCGCCGGAGTAACGATACTGCGACAATAAGAAAGTTTATGTCATTAAACTCTGTAAAAACTAAACGCCCAAGGTGGATCGGCTAAACCTCTGCGGGCGGTATCCGAAAAAGCCAGCAGACTGATGTAGCTTTCCTCGTCTCCGTCGGTGACGAATACCTCCAACGCTTCCCCAAGCCTCTTCACGCGGTGGCTGGTCCAACGCTTCGTGCCCATGTCTTCTGCGACAACGGATCTGGAATGAAACATTCAGATTGCTTTGCTGCAGATGCCCCGGCGCAGGAAGGCCGGATCCCAACCCGCTTCGTACAACCTCCGCTGGCACAGCATCGCGGACCCCAACACGCCTAGTGTTGATATTATGTCCTCGCCTGACCCGCTCAACGAACCCACTAGTATATCGTATCCTAGCTTTGCGCCTCAGTCCACGTCGCGTCGCGTCTCACGCAGCCCGCAACGGAGAATCTCGCTAGCCTCGCCCAGGAAACAGAATCTATTGTCGCCGCGGCGGTTACTGGAACCCGGCGAGACGGAGGGCGACGACGACATGGCCTCTGCATCCAGCGGCACGAGGAGGAAGCTCTTCAAGTCGCCGGTTCAGTCGCCCACAGTGCGGCGCAGGGCGGATGACACAATCACGACCACGGTTCCGCTGAGGGAGTCTGCCGAAGACGAGCTCACAGCGGCGGTAACTCCTAGTAGGAGACGAAGCCGCGCTCGACCTTCCAATGGAACACCTCTTCCTACGGCGGGAGTCAAGAGGAGGGCGGGATCACCAATCAGCAGAAATCCACGTCGCATACGTGATGAGCGATTCACGGGGGGAAACACTGAGGAGCTACATTTTGATGAGAAAGAGAATGTTCAGGCCACGCCTGCAACCGCAAAGCGAGGGCGTCCGCCCAAGAACAAGGCCGTCCAACCGTCCAGCGAGCTAGGAACCGCGAAGCGAGGGAGAAGACGACGGGCGATGGCCCCCGATGAGTTGGTCGGAATAACGGAAGAAGCAGCACTTGAAAGAAGTTTGCAAGATATTCGCCGGCCAAGTGAAACCCAGCCTCCCTCGAGGCGACGTATCAATGGCAGTGTTCCAGGTGCCGATGCTGCATCCAATGCAGATACAGAATCAATGGACGATGACGATGAGCCGACACCCAAAGCCTCAGCACAGCCTTCAACAATATCATTACCTTCCAAAAATAGGCCGCTAGGAGCTGCTGGTAGTAGAGACACTGAACGTGCTCCAGAGGCAAGCGACCATTCCACCGTGGATGAGCACCATGACTTTAGCTCTCAGACCAACGACACGATTGCCCAGGGTGAAGATTTTAGTATGATCTTCATGGACTCCATTCCTTCTTTGCAGAACAGTTACATTGGCAACAGCACTGCCCATGATGATGACGAACTTGGCGAAGACACACATATCATAATCAACAATACTCTGGCCTCGCTAAGACAGGAAGTCGCTCAAACCAGCGATCCGGTAGACATCACAGAGGCAATCGAGATCCCAGAAGTTCCCGAGCTCGAAGATTCGCCAGAAAAAGAGGTGGAATTCATTCCGATCATACGGGAATCCGCCAGAAATGCGCGTCTGAGTGACAGTCCGTGGTGGTCCCGCAAACCTAAGAAGATAGGATCATCACCAACAAGACATCAGACGACGCTGTTAAGGTCAGCTGCAAAGAGGTCAGGGAGACTGTTCAAGTTCGACCAACGGGAGGAGGAGCCGACGCCCACTAAGATTGGTAAACGACCAACATCCGCACATTCCCGAGAGAGCCAGTCCAAAGTTTACGAAGACTCCTTCTCCGAGATTCCTCAGAATTTCCTTGATTCTGCTACCCCTAAGCCCATCAATTTTGCCGCCACTCGAACCGAAAGAGAAGTTGATTTGATGGAGTACGGATTGCATGGAGAGGAAGAGGAACCAGCCGAGGAGGAACCAGCCCAGCATACCGAAGAACCCGCGGAAGACGACGTTGAAGAACATGGCGAGGAAGATGCGGAGGAAGTAGCAGACGAGGGGCTATTAACTGCGCAAATCCAGCGGACGGCTGGGCCAAGTACGATTAGGCTACCAACGCCGCCATCGCCCGACATAATAAGTTCTCCCGTACGAGATGTCGTCGAAGAGAGTGAGGACGAGGCACACGAGGACATCAAAGGGCATGAAGAATTCGAAGAGCGCGAAGGGCAAGAGGAATATGAGGAACACGCAGAACAAGAGGAATCTGAACATGCGGAACAAGAGGAGTTTCAAGAACACGAAGAACATGAAGAAGATTTGGAACTGGAACTGGACCTGGAGTTGGAGGAGGAAGGAGAAGAAGAGCAGCTAACAGACCGCGAAGAACACCATGAAGAAATGGGGAACAATGAGGAGGAGGCAGAAGTGGAAGAGTTTGAAGAGCATGGGCTGCAAGATGAGGAAGAGGAAGAAGTGGAACAACTGGAAGAAGACATGGAAGAAGACGAAGAGCCGCAGGAAGAAGAGGGAGAGCACGATGAGCATGGACAAATCGAGGAGTACAAGACGCACGAGCACGAGCACGAGCGTAGGCATGAACACGAGCATGATGAAGACGAGGACAATGGGCACGAACATGATGAGCACGTGCATGATGAACAAGAGGAGCACGAAGAGCCTCTCTACGCTTCACATCGCTTGGGAGCAAACCTGTTCGCACGCCGTCAGCTTGCACACAAAGATTATTATGCTGACGAAGAAATGCGCTCCGATCCTCTAGAGCAACCCGAGCAGTTGGAGCCGACACCTGAGTACGAAGCGCAGCCGGTGAAAGCCACACCACTCCATCAGATGTCATCGCCACTCCAGGACCCTCAAACCGTACCTCCAGAACCCGTGCAGTATCCGGCAATCCGACCTGTCCTTTCTTCAATAATGCGAGCTGGCCGTGTTTTACAAAACGTCACTTCAGATCCCCCATCACCGGGAGACCGAGAGAAACATCTGGGAAGCCCATTCAGGAGCTCCGCAAGCAAAGAGTCATCGCAAGGCGCCAAAGATGACAGATATCAGCTCTCAAGCAGAAGCCCGCCACAGATGTTCCCTTTTGGTCGTGACCAATCGACCATTAACAGGGCACCTGTAAGTCCCAGAGTCACTGCCAATACCGAGGCTTTCAGTGTGAGCATTAGCGGTGTACGCCGGCCACTTGATATTGGGGCAAAGGAACTGCTACATAGGAAGCGACCATCATCAAGAGAATCCGTCGCAAGCTCTCTGGGCAATACGCCACCGAGTGGCAGTGCCACGAACTGGTTCGAAAGGGAGGGTCCTATAAGTCCTCTTGTAAGGGGTGTTAACTCGTTCCTGCAATCATCGCGCTTCTCGAGTATTAGGCATGCTATTCCTTTTGTTCAAGTTGATGGCGCTGGAGAAGATGAAGATGAAGAGGAGGAGCGAGCGGAAGAAGAGGGGGCTGAAGAGGATGAAGAGGACGAGGAAGTGGAAGAGCAAGAGCAAGAGCAAGAGGTGGAAGCAGAGGAGGAGGAGGAGGAAGAAGAGGAGCAGGAGGAGTTTGAAGAACCAGAGCAGCTGGATGAGCCAGAGGAACTGGAACCGGAACTGGAACCGGAGCAGGATTATGAAGAACAAATGCAGGAACCGGAACCCGAAGAGGATGAAGAAGAAGAAGAAGAGGACGAAGACGAAGACGATGATATTGATATCTGGGAATACGAAGCACGGCGAGAAGTACCACCTCACCAAGAACCCCAGCAGCAGCCGCTAATGCCACTGGCACAAGAGCACGGCACGGCACCGAGTCATTCAAGTTCATGGAGAGACGCAAACCGAGCACCTGCTGCAGCCGTTGCTGCTCCAAATAATCTGTCAAAGTCATCTCGCATGAAACAGTCGCTTAGCCGGCGCGCTGAGGAGAAATTTGAAGGTGAGGAGCACTCTGTGATATCACGGAATCAGCAAGAACAGGAGCCCGCAACTGCGTCAAAATCCAAGCGGTTTGACCTATCATCTTTTTTCTCCTCACCAGCTGCTATCCCCGGCTTGTTGGTTGAAAAATTCATGTCACCCAAATCCAAAAACCGTGCTGAGGCAACTGTTCAGCAAGCGGAGCCTGCTAAACCCCGACAAGAGCCTCCAACAGTGCCCGCGACATCAATCTTTTCAAGACCTCCTCAGAATGGAATTGGTCCGCGAACTGTTCGTCGCAAGGATCCTATATCTTCAACTGTTCGGCCTGTTCCTCTGGCTGATGAGCAAGTGGCTCAGCAATCCGCATCTCCTGGCACTCCTCCTGAGGAACCTTCTCTTCCCGTCATTGCTCAGAAGCAAAACTTTACGCCGCGGCCGCGGCAATCTAGCGAATCCTTCTTCCAGCCTTCGTCCTCTCTCGCAGCTGCAACCCCCCCAAGGATGCAGTTGACACATGACGACATTCAAAGGTGGCAGCTCGAAACCTCAAATGCGAGCGGAAGTTCGCCCACCAGCCCATCCGCATTGAGGCCACTGCCGTCAAAGCACGCCTCGCCAAAGAAATCAAGTCTTCGTTCTCCTCTGAAACCCCATACTCCTGGACGAGTGGTTGAGTTTACAAGCAGCGTACTGTCGCCTCAAGATCAAGCTCAAGTTCGCGAAAAACGCAGCCGAGCTAATGCAAACGTATCCCAGGAGGATATTCGCGCCACCGCCGCCGTACCGACCCATGCAGAGCCGCGGGCAGGCAAAGGAAGCATGGGCAGGCAGCAGCAACATCCCCCACAGAGACTCGCCCCAAAGATCGTTAAACCCGCAGGCGTGACAAAGAAACGATCAACAAAGAAGCGAGGAGGACGGGAGCCCCCCTCCGAGACGGTCTGGACCCGTGGACACTGGATTTTCCTCGATACACTCTTGCAAATGCGGCGACAGCGCCCCTTTAGCGAAGAGTACGAGCCTGTCTCCCGACGGTACCTTGGAAAAGTCGTCACTAGCATGGGCGAGTCTTTAGTGCTGCAGAAGTGGCATCTCGAGTGCGTCGACGCTTTCAAATCCCAGATAGGTGGTTGGGATGAAGGCGAGCTCGCCAAGAGACTTTTTGCGCTCATTCTCGGAGAAGCACAGCGGCGTCGAAACTCCGTGGGCTCATCTCCCGGAGTTATCTTTCATTGATTGAGATGAAGACCAAAAAAGGGTCTACTCTTGTTTATCATATTAACCTGAAACTTGCTCTGCCGGTACAGTTGTATTTTTTTGGATTCATGACTGGCGGAAACGGAACACATTGATTTTGTAGATTTTTTTTTACACATTTCATCGGCGTTGGGGAGAGTCAAGGAAAGGTACCTGAAGCACACAAAACACAACGACGTATGCATGAGTTGGCGTTGGAAAAGGGGAACTGGTTTGATTTACTTTTGGCTCTGGCTAGGCTTTTGGCTTTTCGGTTCGGGGTTTGCTTTTTATTACAACTGTATTTAGGAAAAAAGATACCACTTTGAGCGGTTGGATTGTTCGGTTCGGTTTGGTTTAAGGGGGAAACATGGTTTAACTTTTTTTGTTCATACTTGGATGAACTACCATAGCTTCTTGTATGAACGAATCTGTGGAATACGGTACGGTTGGCTATTCTATTACCCCTTTGTCTCCATGGAGAGAACGAATTATGCCATGATGGAATGAGAACAGTCATATCTTGAGTTACACAACTGTACCTTTCTTGCATCACATAAACGATAGTAGGATGAAGTGTTTCAGTAGGGACGGCGAGTCTTTTGGATGAATGAACGCCTCATCTACCGTGACTAACACATTACAATACAAGATCCATCCTCTCTAGCCATCACTCCCATCTCCCATGCCCATTGTATTTTTCGTCTACTCAAGCATGGAGGCCTGGTTTGTGTACAGCACATCCACAACGTTGCTCAGCTTCTCAATAGTCGCTAGAGCAGAGTCATACGACTCATCCCGCTGTGTCTCATCGTAAATAATAAGGCAGCCAGCACCCTGGTCCAAGACACCAATGATGACCTTGTCGAGAATCATCTGCGACAACTTCCTCTCCACCTGCTGGGTATCGAGACCCACCATCTTGGCGATGTGGTCAATCTCGACTCGTGAGAAGGGCTCAATGACCTTGATGAGATTCTGCTCCAGCAGGGCATCATACAGGCGGCGAAGGTGGTTGCGGATGAAGGTGTCGCTGCCAAGCTCGTATCGGTAAGCAGACAGGGCTCGTTCGTACTCTTCCAAAGATCGGTTTGCGTGGGCACGGGCAATGGCCTTCATGGCCTCGAGGTTCTTTCCAGCGTATTTGACAGCCTGTTTGGATGCCATGAGCTGGTTGACGTCATCCACCAGATTCAGCATGATCTTGCAGAGGAGCATGTACTGCAGCGCAGCCTGGGCCTTGGGAGCCTCTTCCTGGGTGTGATATCCGTCCAATGCCTCGATGAAGTACGAGAACGCCGTGTTGAAGTCCTTATCTTCAGCGTGGAGCATTCCGCTCTGCATATCGAGGTTAGCCTGCAACAGCGGAGGGGTGTAAACGCTGGCAGCGCTCGTCCTCGCGCTCGTCAAAGCAGCACGAGCCTTGGGAATGTTGCCCAGGGCATGGTAGACTCGGGATTCGAGGAGCTGGACCTCGACGAGGCGGAGCTTGTCGTCGAGGCGCTTGAGCTCACGGAGAAGGCCGTTGATGAGGGTGAGGGCGTCGTAGTAGGTCTGCTTGGACATGTAGAGGGTGACCAGGCGGACTTGGAGATCCTGGCGCTGGAAGGCACGGCGCTCGGAGGTGGCCCATTCTATGCAATCTTTTGTAACGGCAACTTCGACGTCGACGCTGTTGGGGATATCTTTGAAAAGGTCCAGAAGCTGGCGGACTGTATATTGTCAAGGCATCAATCAGTCAGCGTTCATATAGCTCAAAGGTTAAGCTTTGAGTCGGATCATCAAAAGACGAGACATACCCAGCTTCGAGGACTTGGCCTTGGCGAAGGATGAGAATACCGTCCGGCTTTCCTGCACCAGAGTGACGAGTTCCTGAGTCTTCCTGTTGGAGAGGTTAGCTCAGCAAATGCAATGCCGCGGCCACCACAACTGACTTCTCATCCCGGTAGAGTTCTCCCAAGCTTATCAAAGCAGCTTCATATTCGCGCGTGGCGGCGTCTGAGGTTGCCGCAGGGGCCTTGGATATGATGTCTTTGAAAGCAGCCTCTGCCTTTCTCGGGTCCGTCTTGACGAAGTCTTGGGCTTCCTTGACCCGGCTGGAGTCGCCGGCAGCCATGGTGGGAGGGGAGGAGGTTGAATCGAAGTCGGGGAGCTTTTAAGCGAGGTGTTTCGGCGAGGGAACGGTGGTGACAGCGGCAGAATCGTTAATCCGATGTATTGTCCCGTCTATTGCAGGGCCGAGGATGTCCGGCTTCGGCTTGAATGGTCAAATGCTGGTGTTGAATGAAGCTCAAGTTGATGCCGATGCACAATCTCGATCTGAGCTTCGCTTGTCCCTCCAGGTAGCCACAGCGCGACGTAGCCCAGCCTCCAAAGTACAGTCTACTTAGTAATCGTCACCTGTAGCCTGCCCCGCCAAGTAGCGTGTACCTAACAGCACCTAACCTCCCACCTTTTGCACTGCTGCTGCCGGCACAAGTACGGAGCACAGAACACATTCCCGGGCCGTCAATGATCCGCCCGGCTGGTGGGCTGAACCGGCGCAGGCCGGAGGCGGGCCAAGTCATGGAATTTTTATGGCCTCCCCTCATACAAGTCCAGTCTCATAGCAGACATAACCGAGCTTCTTCACCACCAGAGCCGCTCAATTGACCGTCTTTACAAATCTTCACCAGCTTCGTTTACCCCCACAAATCACTCATCATGCTTCGACAAGCTCTCGCCTCTTCTTCCAGAGCTCTGCGCTCAACACCCATCGCTGCCAGCCGCGCAATTCTGCGGCCTCAAATCCAGACTGCTGCTCCCGCCATCTCAATAAGAGCGTTCCAGCCTGTTGCCAGCCGATGGTACAGCGAGACCAAGGAGACTTCAGAGACCAAGGAGGCTCCGGCTGCTGAGGAAAAGGCCGACGCCAAGGAGGGAGAGAAGAAGAATGGCGAGACTGACGAGGTTGCTCAGCTGAAGAAGGACCTCGAGGCCAAGGACAAAGAGGCTCGCGACTGGAAGGTTTGTACTCGCTTTCTCTACGCTCTCTGACCAACAAAGGTTGAAAAATCTTCTAATTCATTGTTACTAACTCTCATCGTAGGATAAATGCCTCCGCACCGTCGCCGACTTCCGCAACCTCCAAGATCGCACCGCACGTGAGGTCAAATCCGCCCGTGACTTTGCCATCCAAAAGTTCGCCAAGGACCTCGTCGACAGCGTCGACAACCTTGACCGCGCCCTCTCCACCGTCCCTGCAGACAAGCTCAAGGCTGAGGAGAAGAGCGAGGACCTCCAGGAGCTCGCTAACCTCTACGAGGGTCTCAAGATGACCGAGGGCATCCTCATCCAGACGCTTGCCAAGCACGGCCTGGAGCGCCTGGAGCCGGATGGCGACAAGTTCAATCCTAACGAGCACGAGGCTACTTTCATGGCCCCTCAGCCTGGAAAGGAGGACAACACCGTCTTCTTTGTCCAGCAGAAGGGCTTCAAGCTCAACGGCCGTGTTCTGCGTGCCGCCAAGGTCGGCGTCGTCAAGAACGCTTAAAGGAAGGAAGAAAACCCTCAACTCCTTCTCCTTCTTCCCTCTTCTTACATCCTTGACCGCTTCGAAGAAACAAAGAAGACATGAACTAGAAGAAGAAGAAAAAACTATACCTCAAGAAGTGTGTCATGATTCGAAACAGTCATACAACAACACCTCTTACATGTACTACTACCGGATTTTGCGTTGGCTTGGCGTTAGGTCAAAAAGTGTATAATGCTCCTCTCACGATGACGGCTTTGAAAAGAAAAACATCATTTATAATATCTGCATAGTGGTTCGGGAAACCTGACCAAGGGCGATGAAAAAGGGGAAAACGGTAACGCATTACAGTTGGACACATGAATGTGAAGATGAAAAAAAAAAAGGAGAGAGAAGAAAGAAGAAAGAATCTTTTGTATGAGCGGATATCCATACATGTACATGCGACTTTGCGTCCTCTGAGCGGCAATCAGATGAGCCGCCCTTTAATCAACCGCTTCAAGCGGAACGATACACACTTGAACAACCTGATGCTCATAACAAGCAGTCTCTATGACATGACTTGCAATAATTGTATCTAGCACTACCACTCTGCCATGAAGAAATCCATCAGCCATCCATCTCTAACATTAATATTCGTAAAATGCGATGCTGCAATGACATAAAAAAGCAAGTCGTACCACGCCAACTCTTGTTTTCTTTCTTTTTACATTTGACAGCAGCCAGTCAACATTATACAGCAGCCTGGAAGGCGGCTCCAATCGTGTTCGTCATAATAAATTATACATTGAAAGGTGACATGCGGTCCGTTCATCCCAAGCAAAAAAGTTATTTCTTTGCTTTTCCTCTGGCTCCGGATGCCCTGGCCTTGGCGCGGCCCTTTGGCTTTGAGTCTGTAGTGTCGTCATCTCCAGTGTCGACCTTTGCCGTCTTCTTTGATGGCTTCTTAACCTTGGGCTGTTTGATATATTTGTCTTTCTTGAGGTCAACTTCGTCATCTTCGTCAGCATCCGGTGCCTCCAGCAGCTCGGCGTCGTCTTCCTCTTCGATGGCTTCTTCCAAGTCTGGCGCGTCTTTAGTCTGCCTCTTTGGCGCAAAAACATTGGTGGCCTTGATGAACGGCAATGGATGAGTCATGGCATTGTATCTATATCGAATTAGCATCGTAAAAATGAAAAGCGTTAGGAAAAGGAGAAGGGGTAAAGTTGGTGCAATGCAAATTACTTACGTTCGGGTGAAAGCAGCCTTTGTCTTGGACTCGATAGTGACATTCTCCTCATTCATGGGACCAACTGCGAGCTCTTGGATAGCGTCAAAGTCTTCCCGAGTGAGGTAATAGCTGTCCATCAACTCAATAACTTCTCCCACCGCTTCATTCCCCTCCTTCTGCAGTCGATCCACCGTTTGAGACCAAAGGAGCGGCAGGTACTCTTGTCGGACTTCGTTGTGGTCTCCAGATGACTTGAGTCGCATGTGAGAGTGAACTTCCCGAATATACCGGCCCAATTTTCCAGTTTTGCTGTGATTTCCAAGCCAAGAAGTAAAGTTGGATCCCATCAATTGGCCAGCAATGAAGCTGGCAGGTCGCACAGTACTAAAAACAGCATGCGTAGGCATCAGACTCCATTGCTGTTGCGGTCCATGGATCATGCGGTCCACCAAGTCGCCGTCGCTAATGCTTTCTGCTGCTTGATCAAAGAGCTCAAGAGCTTTCAAAGTAGCCTCTCTGCCGCTATACCCCGAACCGCTCAGGGCCATGGGCTTGGTGCGGAGGTAGTTCTCCTGTATCATGAGGAAACTGAACTCGTGGTCATTGAAGTAAAGTTCAATCTTGTCATTGAGCGTTGCTTTGCTGGCGGGAGCAAATAGGCCACCGGCAAGCATCTTCTGGCAGATATCCCAAGGTTTCAAGACAACATGCTTTTCCCATGCCTTTGACATGGCCTTGGTTTGGTCAAAGCTCATGGACGATTGGTCGAGCTTTGCTGTGGAAATCATGTTGATGATTTGGCGAATATCTTTGTTACTACCCTCAATGAGAGCATCAACAACTGGAGGAGGCAGTTTCAGGCCTTCTCGATGGCAAATCGTCATGATTCGAGAGCGGACCTGGTCGACCGTCGGACGGTTGAATCTTATATCAAACGCGGCGTGGTCGAAAGGCTTCATCTTTGGCAGTCTTCGCTCGTTGCAGATCAGGATCAAAGGCACCTCCGTTTTCCGGCAGAACTTGGCCAGGGCGCCAACTCCGCCGCGATCACCAGCCGACATGCCATCAACTTCGTCCATGATGAGCACAATCTTCTTCTTGGTGGTGTCCACAGATTTTCCATCTCCTGCGAAAAATCCCAGCAGGGACGTGTTGTTCATAACATCGCTAACACCGGCCTCGACAAGCTTCTTGCTACGAGTGTCACTAGCATTGCTCTCCAATACATCGTAACCTTCAAGCTTAGCTGCCAGGTGTGCTGCTGTAGTTTTCCCAATGCCGGGGGGGCCAGAGATAATGATGGCTCGCTCGCCTCCCATGCCATCAGCGCCTCGTTTCTGAAAATTGTACTTCTTGGACTTTGGCCAGTTTCGAAGCCAATTCTGGATCTTTTCCACCTGCGCCTTATTGCCGCATATGTGATTCAACTGTGTCGGGGCGTATTTAGAAGTAAGAAGCATATCGGGTGCCTTTGCAGGCTCAACGGGTGCACTGCTTGTCGGGCCCCGGGATGCAGCCAGTTTCTTCGCCGCTTTCTCCGCTTCTAGCTTCTTGGCTTTCTCTTCTGCCTCCATTTCAGCAACCTGCTTCTTTACCTTTTCTTCTTCCGCTTTTTTCTTTTCTTGCGCCTTCTGAGCACCCTTGCCGGTGCCGCCAAACGGTGGAAGCTTGCGGATCAGATCAAAGAGGCCATTCTCATCGATTGTCTTGATGCCGTTTGCCTTGATTTTGGCTAGTTTGGATGGCCCAGCATCTCCTCCAAGCACGACGAAACTTGTTTTGCTACTGGGTTGGCCAGTAACTTTGCCGCCATATCGCTTCACTAGTGCTTGAGCTTCATCGCGGCCAATGGTTTGCAACACGCCAGTGAAAACAAAAGTCAATCCGCTGAGACACTCCTCTTCGCCTTCTGGAAGTTCGCCGGCCGGAAGGGTAGGCGCAGCAGCGGCATTACCTCCCCCTGAAGCAGCTTTCCTCCAGTCGAATTTCGCATTGGGATCTTTTGGTGGTGGTGTTGGCGCTCTCACAGTGGCTACGCTGTCAAGAATGTTCTGAATGTCCTCGTCCTCGGGTTCGTCTGCTTTCTTTGCCCTTGGTGCTCGTGGCTTGCTTGCAGCTGTAGGTTTCTTTCTCGGTAGCTCTTCTTCTTCGTCATCTGATTCCTGCTCTGGTGACTTTCGCTTCTTACTAGCTGATGCAGCCTTGGTAGTTGGCTTCTCTTCAGTCTTCTTGGCAGAAGCAGGTCGTCCTCGTGAGGCAAGCCGTTTGGATTTTGGTAGAACTTCGTCTTCTGATTCTTCCTCCTCATAATCATCGGTTTTGCGCTTATTACGACCCTTAGCGTCAGCAGCAAAGATGTCATCCCCATCCTCATCACCGTCATCCATATATACGTCGTCATCATCGTCAACAGGAGGAGCTTTATACGAAGTCCTAGCCTTTTTCGATCGAGGAGCTGCATCCTCATCCTCATCCTCAGGGGCCGCCGGCTTTGCCATGGGTTTCTTGCGAGGACTGGATCTAACGGGAACTTCGGCCTCGATAACGATTTTGCTGCTACTCTTCTTGGGTGTTTGAGATGCCTTGACTGGTTTAGAATCTTTCGATGAAGCAAAGTAGTCGTCGGCGGATATCGCTACGCCTTTGGGCTCCGTCTCTCTGATCTAGAGTTAGAAGGGAAAATCACAATGACAAGGCGAAGAACAAGAATGGACCATCGCAGTAAATACCTTTTCTTTGCCGCCGGTTTCGGCGTAGGCTTCTTCTCTCTGTAAGTTCGGTTAGAGACGGAGCGTGAACCATGTGATAGCTTGTAACGGGGTGACAGTACTCTACAACTTCATCATCGCTATCTTCAACAACTTTCCGGCCCTCTATATACTAGTCAGTATCAATTGATGACTCCTGGATGAGAAACACTCACTTCCTCGTTTGCCCTTGGCCGCCGGTGGCTCTGGTTTGGCGGCCGCAGGTTTGGGGGCAGCACCACCCTTTGGCGCGAAGAACGATCGGATATCAGGCATTGTGTACCGCTGTTCAAACGCAGACGAAGTGCTGGAAGACAATAAAATTGATGGAGGCGACAAGACAAAATATAGCCTTCCCAGGGGCGTCGTCCACTGCAATTTGATGCTGTTGCCTGACCAATCGCGGGTCCGGCGTGCAGAGAGAAGATGCAGCCTAGAAATTGTTCAGTGACGTGCACTAGATCCCACCTGCAGCGTAACGCGAAGCTGACGCGAGGTGCGTGACCTGGGCTTAATTGCCTGATGCTGCTGGATGAGTAAGCAGCAGCTTCAGGGCCTGAGATCTCAGGCCCCACTCATCCATGCCATGGTGGGATTCTTTTCAAGATATCGGAGGAGTCGTGCGATATCTCGAGACAAGCCGAAACAAGCGGCCAAACCGACGCCATGAGGTCCAATGGCGCTTCCGCATTGCTCAACGCCTTCCAGGGGCTGAAGATTTCCGCATGCACCCCGTTGCGACAACTGAGGACTCCGATCCAGCACCAGTCCAAAGTCCTCAGCACCGCTCTGCTCCAGAATGGCAGGGCTTTTTCCACAAGCCCGGCCATGATGGGCACATGGCTCGAGCCCAGCCTGAATCGAAAGAAGAAAATGGCAAAGGGGCGACCGCGAGTAGCGACGGGAGGGTCTACGAAGGGCACAACAGTCATCTGGGGCGATTACGGATTGCGCATGGTTGACCACCACCGAAGAATCAGCGCCAAGTCACTAAAGATGGCTGAGGATACGATCAAAGTGCGACTTCGAGGAGAGAAATACCGACTTTACAAGAGGAAGTGCTGCAACGTCGGCGTCTACGTCAGCGGTAACGAGGTGCGGACATTTTTTGACAAACTATCTGAGAGGGGAGTGGCAAGCTAAAACGTTGAAACAGATGCGAATGGGTAAAGGAAAGGGTTCCTTCGACCACTGGGCCACAAGGATGGCAGTCAGCCAAGTTCTGTTTGAGATCAAGGGCCGAATCCATGAGCAGATTGTTCGAGACGCTTTCCGGTTGGCTGGCAATAAGCTCCCAGGTGCGAAACATCATCACTATGGTCTCCCTTTTCAGAGCACCACTAACTGAGTTAACAGGCCAGTGGGAATTTGTAAAGAAGGGTGACGCTCCCGTTGTTGGAATTACCAAGCTGGACGGTATCACACTGGAGGATCTCAAGAGACCCAGAAAGCAGCTTGCCCCCCAGGAGCTTATTGAGATATCAACTTCTACAACAACCGCCGAAGCCGGAAGCACATCTGCGCCGCCTGGGTCCTCATAAGCATCAAGGGGAATTCCATGTACCATAAAAATACTTGTATATATAAAACAAAAGCCGCCTGATGAAAAAATGGAAAAGAAATAACGAACATGTGAGCATGGGTCTTAAGCAAGGATCATCTCCCCCACCATGTCGGCAATTTTGTAATCCTATATTTTACCAAGTGAAATTGAAATTGAATAATGCCCACAAGGAGGATATTGAGAGGGACAATGGTGAAAAAATCAAACAGCAAGTTGATTACTGGCTTTGTAAACTCGAAGCAGTATAAGTGCACCTCATGTTAATGGAGTCGTTGAACCAATAGTTAGCGGCCTAGGTAGGATTTTTTGGCCGTAAAACCAGCTTCGTCCAGTGGCTACAGGGAACTGCAACAGGCACCTAGACTTCCCCACCCTGAGTTCATCGCACAGCACTTTACGCGACGACGCGTCTGCCAACCTTCAAAATCTTGGAGCTTCCAATCCAATAAGCACGCCAATCTCAACAGCCAACGCAATGGCTCTCATTGTCGACAAGCATCGCCCGCGGTCTCTCGAGGCTTTGTCATATCACCATGAGCTTTCAGAAAGACTTCAATCTCTCGTATGAAGCGATTCTTCACATCCACAGCTGCAATGGCTAACCGCTAACTCCCCGTCACAGGCCCAAAGCGGTGACTTCCCCCATCTCTTAGTCTACGGTCCATCAGGAGCCGGAAAGAAAACAAGAATAGTGGCCACGCTGAAGGAGCTGTACGGCCCCGGCGTGGAGAAGATCAAGATCGACGCACGAGTGTTCCAGACGTCTAGCAACCGAAAGCTCGAGTTCAACATTGTCGCCTCAAACTACCACTTGGAAATCACACCATCCGATGTAGGGCAATACGATCGAGTCGTTGTGCAAGACCTCCTGAAAGAAGTAGCGCAGACGCAGCAGGTGGACCAGTCGGCAAAGCAGCGATTCAAGGTGGTCGTTATCAATGAAGCAGACCACCTGACCAGAGATGCGCAGGCCGCACTTCGTCGGACGATGGAAAAATACTCTCCCAACCTGCGTCTGATTCTGCTGGCCAATTCAACAGCGAACATCATTGCGCCGATTCGTTCAAGAACACTGCTCGTCAGAGTTGCCGCTCCGACCCATGCCGAAATCTGCGACGTCCTTGCGCAATCGGCAAAGAAAGAGAACTGGGAAGTTGTCACAGGACTCCACCAGCGGATAGCTGAGGAGAGTGGAAGGAATCTGCGCCGCGCGCTACTGATGTACGAAGCGATTCACGCTCAGAAGTAAGTGGAATCGAATGAATCGACAGTTGTGGGTGTCTTTGCTAACGATCCTTTGCGCCGCAGTGAGAAAGTAACAGACACCACGCCAATCCCACCCGCAGACTGGGAAGCTCTGGTTGGACAGATCGCCAAGGAGATCATCGAGGAACACACCCCGGCAAGAATCTTGCAGGTGCGCGCTAAGCTGTACGATCTCCTCACACATTGCATCCCACCAACCACGATTCTCAAGACCCTTACGTTCAAGCTGCTGGGTCTCATTGACGACGGGCTCAAAGGAGAGGTCATAAAGTGGTCCGCGTTCTATGAGCACCGAATCAAGACGGGAACAAAGGTTATCTTTCACCTGGAAGCGTTTGTCGCAAAATTCATGCGCATTTTGGAAATGTACCTGATGAGCATGGACATGTAATTACAGCGACTGGTCACGATGGCGTCTGGAGTACTAGAAAAATAATTGAAAGGAACCTTTGTTCTGCGGACCCTTTAATTTTACCACAAGTTGTTCATTGGTCCCGAATATGTCCTACAAAAGAGATGAAAGGCAGCCTAGCGCTTCATGTGAGTGTTCAAGCAAACAAAGAGGCTTCCGCTTGACTATATATGTCCCCTCCCATGCTGGAAAGCCTCCTCCCGTTGGCATGATTCATCACCGAATTCAACAAACACCCTCCCAAGTTTGCTCAACCTATAGTAAGGACTCCTCAGACACGTACGACTGCCGCGCCTTACGTGCGAGATATACTAACTCTACTCGGTCGAACAGAACTTTCAAAGACCATCAAGTCTCGCGACAGCAACAATGAGCCCTCATGTAAAGCATCATCATGCCAGAGCAATCCAGGAGCTTGCTCGACCCATTGTCAAAGCCCCCACGGACGACAGCAGCGTTGGTGAGCATGGTTGCTGTCCCATCACTGAAAAGATCCTTGACGAGATTGTCAGTCATGTATATGACGTTGCGAAGGCGACGGTACCTGGGTATGATACCCAGGCTTTAAAACAACGTCTCGAAGTGTTTATCAAAAAGCATTATCCCCATTCTGCTGAAAACGACGCCAGCAAATCCGACGAGGAAACCACTGGAGAAAAGAATGCCGAGGTTGTCACCAAGGTCCATGTCCATCAAAAAATTGCCCACGAATTCGCTGCGAAGCTTGAGGAGATAAGTGGCCTAAATGGCCTGAATGTTCATGATGTCCTAGCCAACAAAGACCATTTCCACAAGCTTGGGCGCCATATCAAACGCCGTCTTGAACGCCACCATGAAATTGCCGGCGACAATATCGATGAGGCTGACAAAGTCGCCTACAAACATTACGACACAGTATCTGAAAATGATTTCAGTGAAGTTTCCACATACGATAGCGAAGAGACGGACGAACCTTTCATGGAGGTGCGTAAGAAGGCAGTCGACGAAGACGCCACCATATTCTGATGACGAAGTGATTAATATTAGAAGGTTGATGATGGTGCCACACAGGCCCTTAGGAAATTGGTCGACCAAGTCGCCTTCGAATTCATCATCGAAGTGGTTGACAAACGAGAAAAAAGAAAGGAAAAGAAAAAACAAAATGAAAAATACGACTTCGGTTTCGAGGGTTTTGTCAAACTCTTTGACGACGCTGCCAACTTTTACACTGACTTCGACTTTAAGAGCTTTGTTAAGCTCTTTAAGCATGCCACCAACTTAAACACTGGCCTTAATTTGGAGGACTCTGTTGAGCTATCTGAAATTACCACCAACTTCTACTCTGACTTCGACCTTTGGGGCATCGTCCAGCTCTTTGAGTATGAGGATGGCTATGTCATGGTCGATCGCAACACAATGATGCCGTCTGCCACCGAGATCACTGGCAAGGCGGCGGCAAGGACTAGAACTTGGGGGTTCTTTCGACGAGACTGAGATTGCTTCGAGTTGATGCCATGTGTCAAACGAAGGTGATTTGTTGGATTTTCCGAGGTCTCATGATGTAGGTTGGAATACGAAGAGTGAAGTTGTAAGATAGGCACGCAAATCAAAAGACAAAAAAAATAATAGCATCGATTATTGACTGATTTACGACTCATGCTTGTCCGTCGGATACCCATTCACGCGTCCTTAGTACTTTGAGACAGCGCGATGAATGCTCCATTCTATTAGAGTCGAGAGAATACCGCTGCCTCGAGCGCAGTGCAACTGTCAATAATTCTGCAAAGGGCTGTTGTGTCTAATAGAAATGAAGAGAAGCGATGAGCCTTTGTTGCCATTCTTCTGCCTTTAAGCCTTTATTATGTGATTTAGAACCCTTTGTTTCAATCCTTCAAGGCTAAATGAAAGGAATCTGAAAAAACTTGTTCAAACCAACACAAAGACATTGTCACGTCTTTGCAACGAAAACGGCAATCAATGTCTGGTAGCTCCGACGCAAGTAAGACAGACCAACGCTGGGTTGCAACGAGTGATTTTTCACGAGAAACTGCCCTGGCATGGGCTTTAATACCTGGAACGAGGAGACGCATGCAGTCATCTCTCTGTTGGTGATTCGGACAGGGCTGCAGAGGCTTGAAATAGAAGCTGTCAACACGAGCCTGCTTGGCGAATACATTATCTTTCTCCTCCGATCATATCCGTCACAAAGCTTCTAGGGTATTTAACCGGCAATCCTGGCGGGATTCGTGTATAAGCTCTGTCTTATCAGTCATGGCAGGGAGTGAGTAAGCAGAGATTTGCAGTTTCAGGGTTCAGGCCTCGTAACCAGCTAGACAGTACGAGTACTTTAGTAGGTAGTACTCTGTAGGTCAATCCCAATTAATAACGCATCAATTGATCCGTACCGGTTGGTTGGGTGCGTTGGGGGCACCTTTTTTAATGTCACTCTCATTTCTGTAGGGTAACCGTTCGCTGCAACATTAGACTGGACTGAAGAAAATGGATGGATGGATGGAAGGGAGGGTAAAAGAGGGGCAGCGCATGGACACGGCAAAGTTCCTGAAGCAGAGTAGCATCGAAGGATCTTGAGGCCGACCAACCACCAACAACGGCCAGTTCCCCCTTTTGCCTATTTCACCATTGGCGATTTGCATACTTATTTCTTTCTTAGGTAGTCATGGAGGTTCTTGTCTCCTTTTCAAGTGCGTTGGCCACTACCACTACCACTACCACTACAAGATGGCAACGGGCGGATATCTCGGGAACAAGCAGGAGAAAAAAAGACGTCCAAGCACCTGTCTAGTGCAACGCAAGTAGTGGATCTGATAATCCAAAAGCCGGGATGCGGGCCACAATTTCCCATCCGTGATAAATGATTGATCCAAGGCAACCCATGGTAGTAGCACGGAATGGGACTCCATACATACCTACTGTAGTGTACATAGCTCTGGTGTTAGATGGGGGCATCGCTTATTCACCTTGCCCGGGATGCATGCAGCTAGCATGTGCGCATCGTGGGTAGGCAATTTCAGCGCTCACGGCCATTGGCGGCCGCTGCCTGATAGACGGCATGCGTCTGCAAGGAGCTGCAAACTCTTTAGGTTGCTGGCACTTTTTACAGGCGGAGACGGCGGCATCAGCAGCCAGAATGAATGAACATTACGTATTGACATGTACCGAGTGAGCGTGAATATGAGACATCAGCTCGAGCACGAGAATGAGCGGGAAATCCAGGGCTCTCGATGGCAGAAAGCCCGAGGATAAGGTCGAACATGTCTCGTGGCCCCTCGGACGACAGGCGCCGGCAACATGGCAAATGACGACGGGAGAGACGCATCTCACCAAGACGAGCAGCTAACAAACCGAGCCCTTCCAGGCTGGTTTCATATGACTCGTGGGGCTTGTCTCTCAACACGGAAATGCTGCTTCTGGCGCTTCGGGGCAACGGAGCTGTTGGTACCCCACCCGGCCCATCGGGACATGCGCCGCTTGTATGTATGTAGGGCAAAGGCTTCACCAGCAGAGACGCAGTGCGTGGCGATGGTTTCCCCAAAGCGCATTAGGAGTGGCAGGACAAGCCGCTAGAGATTCTGGGGGACTTTGGGGGAGTGAGGAGTGAGCCTGGGGAAAAAGACGGGGGAAGAAAACGGCCGGCGTCGTGGCGACTGCGGTAACTGTGGTGTACCGAGTACTTGAAGAGAGAGGGAGAGGCTGCTTGTAAGCCAGGGCTCGCTCGTGTCTCTCGTCACCAGCCTCGCCTCTACGAATAGTAGTACTACATGACAACTGGGTAGACAAGGGTCCTGGACACGACGTCCAGCTACAGACAGCATTGCCGTTGTCGCGATCCACTATTAATGGCAGGTTCCTAAACGCAACGCCGTCCATGTCGAGATGGAGAATGGTGGTGGTATTACCTTAGTAGTAGGTAGATTAGTATGGCCGGCTCCATACCAGCGAGGTAAGGGTAAGGGTACAAACACGAGTAGGTTGACTTGGCTTGACAAGACTAAAGTAGTGAGCGACAATGGAGTACATACGAGTCTGGTATTACCACACACAGCAAGCATCCTCAAAAGCTATCCCCAGAACGCCATCTCCCTGGACGGCACTGCGGGATCGCCTCCACCATTTGATCCAATCTTATAAAGTCGTCCAAACCCCCTCCGCTCCGCCGCCGCCTCTCCTTCTCCTTCTCCTTGTTGCTCTTTACTCTTGACCATCTCACCATACGTCACGAAGAGGCAAACACCAAAGATTCAAAGAGCGTCCTGCTTCTCTCTGCTTTTGCTCGGCGTCTGCTCTAGTTGCTCCCCACCCTCGAGCCCTTTGCGACTCGAACAGGGACAACGACTCTATCCACCGACTGTTGCTGCCCGCATTGCACCGCATTGCATCGCAACAGCTTCTCTTTGTTGGGGGGAGAAAATATCCATCCACCGCAACGTAGCACCAAAGTACTCTGGACTTGAAAAAGCTACCCCGCACCCGGTCGCATTTCTACAGCGCTTCCTGCTGCTCTGCCCCTCCAAACCTTTTTCTACCTCTTTTCCCGCCTTCTGTACACACAAACCGCAGAAACTCTTCAACAACCGCAGCCATGGCCGATAACCAGGGAGTAGTCGTGGAAGCCCACGAGATTGAGACTTTCCGTAAGGACTTCTTTGCGCCCTGTGCTTTTTGCCTTTTTTTTGTGCCTTTTTTCTTCTAGCCATTCCGAGCCGATGCTAACCTGTTGCGCCCAACAGAGCCTCCTCAGAAGATGTTCGCAAGTATGTTGCCCGCTAGCCGCTCCTCGAAATCTCCGATAGACAGCCACCCCTAGCCTCTTTAGCCGCGTTTGGCACCAGATCCAGCTGACATCTTTTTCTCTCTCACCCATTTGACAGAGCACCCCGGCAAACCCCACATTGCAAGTAAGTGAACCGTTTCCCTAAACACCTCAAAGAAGCTGAGCTGCCCCGTATCTGCACCGGTCTCGGCGCTGCCCGCGGGGGGCAACCCGGACGGCCGGAATTGCGTCAAATCAACGGCGCGTTTTTTCCGCCTGTCCGGTCGGCCGGTGCAGCTCGCTGCGGTCACGCAATCGAGACTATCGAGATGATGATTGCTGACGATGCCCGAAAACGATAGGCCTTGAGGAGTACCAGAAGCTCTACAAGGAGTCCATCACCGAGCCCAACAAGTTCTGGGGCCGAACAGCTCGCGAGCTGCTTACCTGGGACCGCGACTTCCAGACCGTCTCCGCCGGCAGCCTCGCCGAGGGCGATGTCAAGTGGTTCGTAGAGGGCCAGCTCAACGCCTGCTACAACGCCGTCGACCGCCACGCTTACAAGGACCCTAACCGCGTTGCCATCATCTACGAGGCCGACGAGGTCGACGATGGCCGCAACGTCACTTACGGCGAGCTCCTTCGCGATGTCTCCAAGGTTGCCTGGGTCCTCAAGCAGGCTGGCATCAAGAAGGGTGACACCGTCGCCATCTACATGCCCATGATTCCCGAGGCCGTTGTCGCCATCCTGGCCTGTGTCCGTATCGGTGCCGTCCACTCTGTAGTTTTCGCCGGTTTCTCCGCCGACGCTCTCCGGGACCGTGTCCTCGATGCCAAGTCCAGATTTGTCATTACTTCCGACGAGGGCAAGCGAGGTGGCAAGTTCATTGGCACCAAGAAGATTGTCGACGATGCTCTGAAGCAGTGCCCCGACGTCAGCCACGTCCTTGTCTACCGCCGCACCAGCGCCGACATCAACATGGTTCCCGGCCGTGATCTGTGGTGGCACGAGGAGGTCGAGAAGTGGCCCAGCTACATCGCCCCCGAGCCCATGAACTCTGAGGATCCCCTCTTCCTTCTCTACACCTCTGGCTCTACCGGAAAGCCAAAGGGTGTCATGCACACCACCGCCGGCTACTTGCTCGGCGCCGCCCTGACCGGCAAGTACGTCTTCGATATCCACGACGGCGACCGCTACTTCTGCGGTGGTGATGTGGGCTGGATTACTGGCCACACCTATGTCGTCTACTCTCCCCTGCTCTTGGGTGTTTCCACAGTCGTCTTCGAGGGCACACCTGCCTACCCCAACTTCTCAAGATACTGGGATATCATCGAGAAGCACAACATCACTCAGTTCTACGTTGCCCCCACCGCCCTGAGACTGCTCAAGCGAGCTGGTGATGAGCACGTCCGCGGCAACTTCAAGTACCTGCGAACTCTCGGTTCCGTCGGTGAGCCCATTGCTGCCGAGGTCTGGAAGTGGTACTATGAGATTGTCGGCAAGGAGAGCGCCCACATTGTTGATGTAAGTTGTAACAAACCCCAACCATCGTGATTCGCACCGGCCTGGGAAGAGATAGGATGAAAACCTACAAAAACAAACGAAGGTAATACTGACTGGCAACTTACAGACCTACTGGCAAACCGAGACTGGCTCCAACGTCATCACACCTCTGTCCGGTATTACCCCCATGAAGCCCGGCAGTGCTTCACTACCATTCTT